CAACAGCATTGCAGTCCCCTCGGCACTGCAGTTCAGCTTCGAGTATACGACCACCCTGGTTACGCCGGGTCTTTGTTGGTAACACACCACCTTTGAGCCTTACAGCTCTCAGAAATAGACTTGGCCGAACCCTATCTGGGCTTTGGAACCATTCAATACTTTCTCGGTATGCATCCAGGCCAACTAAACATCTGAAATCTCGAGATCGATGGAGCCCATCTGATCATGCTTGTTTAGCTTCTTCAACAGATACCACGGTTGATTGACCAACGCTGATCGGGATATTGGCAGTACGTACATTGGGGCCGAAAGACTTGGTCCCAGTGACTATTGCAGTCAAAGGGTTCTCGGTGCGAGCCGATCGCCCGATACGCGCTCTCTGCGCTAGGGGAATAGTAGTTGACAGAAATGGTAGACCCAGTCCTCCTAGCCGAGCCGATGCGTAAAAAACCCAAGAGTAGTACCTTTAGGAAGGCTCAACCAGTGCCTCACACTCTCCCTGATCATGCGATCTAAGTACTTCAGAGTGTTGCGATGAGCGACGCCCAGCGTCAAGTCGTGGACAAGCTTTGGAATTGCAAACACTCTCAGTAATTCAAGCCGCTGATGCGGTTTGAGTGGTGCTTTAGTGAGATCACCCAGCATCTCGTTTAGCTTTCCAGTATGTCTTACAGCTTTCCGGCCTTTCCAGGTAAATCCTGGACCCATATATTTGGCCTCATCAACTGGACTCATCGATTTCAAGGGAGACCCATCCACTTCAAAGTGATCCTGAGTCAGAACCCGGTGCTTTCTCTTACCGTCCTTCATCATCATCATACTGGCAGATTTGCTTGCATTTATGCGCATCCCCGCAGCCCACAGGGCCGCAGATAATGTAGCAAGACGCTCTCTGAGGCGATCTGCATTTTCAGTAAGTAACACAAGGTCGTCTGCATACGCAAGTGTACTGACAACAATATCATTTACTTTGACCGCCACTTCGGGTTTAGACAATGCAATAATCTCTTCCATGACCGAGATGAACAGCAGCGGAGACAGTGGGTCCCCCTGCCGAACACCCTGACCGCATGTCACGGTTATACCATCAATTGTAACCTCAGTACCAGAATACAGTCGCTCAAGATAAGAGAGCAGCGGTCCGGGCAGCCCTTGCCGCCGCGCGGCCCGCAAGATGGTTTCGTACGAAATGATGTCAAAGGCCTTTGAAACATCAACAAATGCAACCGCCATCGGTTTACATTCATCATGATAATAACGCAACACTGCATGTGACAAACTCAAAGCCTCTAGGCAGCCATCCCTCCGCTGGGAGGCGGTCTGCCATGGACTAAGTT